ATTTTTAGGTCTTTAAAATTTAAGAAAAGTTGATGGTTATTTGATGTTAAGGCTATAAGTTTCTGGCTGTGTGTATTTTCTGTTGAATAACTTGTTATACAATGTTAAGATAGTACTCATATAAAGGAATTGATGTGAATTGGGTGACTGCATACAGGATAATTATAAAGTAAAAGCATTATTTTCTTGTCTTTCTTTTCATGATGAAAGATTATTTTTATTTATTTATGCATACAAGAACCAGGGAATAGGCCAGAAGTGTAGGGGTGACAAGAGTCACTAAATACAGAGTGGGGGAGCAGTACAGGCAGATCTACTGAAATACACTGCTGAGGGGAGCAGCATGCGAAGACAGGAGAGGTCTGCTGTGCCATGTGGACCAGCTCCCTGGTTGGGGATCAAATTCATGCCATTGTGGCTGCTGATAGCTTGATAGTGCTGCGACTTAAAACCCTGTGCTACCAGGGGTGCTCTATTTCCTTGTCTTTCATCTAACTCCAGACATTTGTTTTTCTAGAAGAAACGATCATTTATTGCTCTAATGAAATTATACTTCAGACATTTTCTGTAAATACAAGTTTCTCTAATAAAACTGATAATTAGAATATTACCATGGATATAAAAGGTAATATATGGCTGTGAAGGTATGAAAACAGCTAAGCTGCTGCTTCTGATTGACTTATAGTTTTGTGGATGAAAGGAAAAGGGAGAGTTAGATAAACTTATTTGTTGGAAGGTTAAAGATGAATAACCTTTTATATATATTGATATATCACATTTATATGGGACAATAAGATGTATTTTGGAGTTTTGCACCTATAGCCCCCCAAAAAAATGAAAAATAACTTTGAAAAATCAAAGTTATCTGAATAAATACAATAAAAATAAATAACTATGAAGATGACTCAGGCCTGGCTCTGTTCCAAGGAGCGTGTGGCCACAGGAATGTGCTGAGAATGGAGGGGCCAGAGAGGCTTCAGATTGAACTGTGGCAGTTACTCAAAAGGAGGGAGGGCAGATAAATTGTACTGGTAAGTGAGACACATCATTCAATTATTTAAATGTTCGTTGTTTCCAAGAGAAAAAAACACAATATACATAATGTTCTTGACAAAGTACAGTAGTTATACTTAAAGATTTGTGCATTTCTCCAGATAGTTTATCTCAAAAAAAAAAAAGATGACTCATGACAAAGATCAGATGTTCTATGTTTGCCCTGACATATAGGGAAGTTTCTCGGGTACAAAGCTTATTTCTGGTAATAACCCTAATTTTGGGTAAGACCACCAATTTTCATACTAGGTAGTTCTAGAAGTGGTAACCGTTTCTTAAGATGAATCCCTGATGAACCTCAGATGGAATAATTCACACACCAAGTGGCCTGTCTTGGAGACACCTTTCTGAACATCTTGGGAGGCCTGACCTTCAGCGCATAATAAATGAGGGAAGAGCAGATGAGGGGGAGGATGGGGTCAGGACCAGGCTGTAGATTAGGCTACAGGCCTCCTCAGTATGGTTGGGTGCTGGGGCAGGACGTGGAGGGGGGCTGAGGAAGAGGGGACAGGCTGGTTCTATGAGGCCAGAGCATGTGTGTCAGGGGCAGGAGTAACAGTTATGGGAAGAGATAAAATCTTTTCCTTATGCTTAATTTGTTTTTAACATATATATTTTTTGATACTATTGATAGTAGTGGTCGGGTCCTGTTAGGGCTCCTGCTTCTCTGCTCACAATAAACACACTCCTTCCTCCCAGCACAGGGTTCAGGTAGGGTATACACATGTCTTTGTCACCTTACTCAGTGACCATCTCTCATGACAGTGCAAGCTCCACGTCTCCCAGGGTTCTCTCTCTGCTCCCCATTGTATCTGCAGGAGAGGCAGCTTGGGAGGCAGGAGCCAGCCAGGGAGAGGGATGCTGGGAAGTGAAGAAGAGGCAAAGGCAGAGAACACTTGAGAGATGCTCCCTGGTTCACTGAGAAAAGCATTTCTCAAAGTGTGGTTGTGGAGCCCTTGACATCACCCAGAATCTTTCATGGGATCCATGAGGTAAAACTAGTTTCAAAACATCACTTAGACACCATTTGTCTTTTCACTATTTGGCATTTGCTGAGGTAAAAATTCATAAGAGTGGAGCTAGAGTCAAAATAAGGGGGGGGGATGCAATTGTATGGGGAATATAACCAAAATGAAAATGCACACATTGTGCAAAAATGAAAAAAGATGTAAGAATTATATAAAATAAAATATGTAAAATAGAAAAAAAAAAAGAGTGGAGCTTATAGTACCACTGCAGAAGTAGTAATTCTTCACCAGCACTTACCTGCAGGAACAAAAATCAAAGCCAGTTTCACTTGAAAATGTCCTGAAAAAAAGCATTAGAAGTTATCTTCATTATTGCATCATCCTCAACTCCACATTTGAAATTATCTGGTGTGCTGACCTGGAAGGACACACAGAGCACCTCTGTGGCATCCCAAGCCCTGTGTCTTGAGGAAAATATTTGTTACGAGATGAATTAGACTCTTTTTATTTGTGGGCAACACCAATCTTACCTGAGGGATGAATGACACAAACTAAGGTTATTTAAATTTGGTTAATTAGCAGACACTTTCCTCAAAATGAATGAACGTTTCTTGAAGAAAATCAACAACTGGCAAATGACAGTAATTTTGCCTGAAAAATATAAGCTCTCAGGGAAAACCAGAATTATGAAAAACTGAGTGCATCACTACTTGACAATTTACAGCACAAATTTTCTTTTGGGATTTGTGATTAAAAAAATAAAACTTTTTTGATCATTTGATTCCAGTGTAATTAACACTAAAAATCTATGTAACTTAGTGAAACAACATATCACCTTAAAAAATCATACATTAGCACAAGTCCCAACCAATATGCAAGAGAGGCCCATGGACATTTAACAGAATAGGAAATATTCCCTGATATTATTTCAGGTTTTACTTTGCAAATAACCTTTGAGAAACTACCGGTGTACAGTTTTAATTTAGTATTTATATTCACAATTATTTGCAAATACTACTAGTTTCTTTATTCCTCCAGGCTGCTGCTTCTCCCAGCCCAAATCCACTCCTCCCTAAGGTGAGGAAGAGAATTTGGAGCCTCCCCTGTCTGTGGATGTCACACTGTCACAGCATCATGTCTCCCTCTCACAGGCTCTGTGGGGTGGTGCAGCCTTGATGACCCCACACTCACCCCATTTTCTCTCCCCATTTCCTGGGGGTTTCCAGGGAAGACAATCAGCATCATCTGCTCCAGTTCCAAAGTCTCCAAGGACTCTCCTGGACTCCTTCTCCCCAGACCCCTGGATGGGGTGTGATGCCCCTCCCGCTCCTGCTGCTGCTCTGGGGGCCCCTGGCCCTGATGGAGACCCGGGCGGGTGAGTGCGTGTCCAGCTGGACACTGTTGCTCCAGGAGGGAGGAGCAAGGAGCCCCCTGCGGGTGCAGGACCCCAGGAAAGGCTCATCTCCTCCCCAACCTCTTGTACCCCCTGCAGGCCAGTTGTGTTCTGGCCCCTTCTGTCCCTCCCGCCTCCCCTGAGTGCTCTGGGCCCCTGAGTCTGGGCCCTTCTTGGCCCACCGCCCCTTTTCACTCTCACGGCCCCGCCCCTTTCTCCCCTCCAGGCCCATCTCCCTGGGCCCTGGGCCCGCGCTGAGAGGAGGGTCAGCCCGGGTCTCCCCTCCCGCCCCAGGCTCCCACTCCCTGAGGCTTTTCTATACCATGATGCCCCGGCCCGGCCTCGGGGAGCCCCGCTACATCGCCGTGGGCTACGTGGACGACACGCAGTACGGGTGGTTCGACAGCGACTCTCCGGGCCAGAGCGCGGAGCCGCGGGCGCCCTGGGCGGGGCAGGTGGGGCAGGAGGACCTGGACGAGGAGACTCAGAACCAAAGGGACAACGCGCAGTGGTTCAAAGCGCTCCTGAGGGACCTGCGCGGCCGCTACAACCAGAGCGAGGACGGTGAGCTTCGCGGAGCGGGGCCAGGGTCAGGTCACCCCCATTCCCACCCTAAGGCCGGGGTGTCCCGGGTCTCAGGGTCCACTGACCCCTCGAGGCTGGTGGATCTGCCAGGACCCTCCACCGGGAAGGGACTGTCCAGCCGGCCCTTTCATTTTCAGTTTAGGTTTATTCAGGGTGAAAAGGCGGGGTGACCTCGGAGTGACCACAGGGGTGGGTCTCAGGGTCTCACACCCTCCAGAGGATGTTTGGCTGTGAAGTGGGGCCAGACCTGAGTCTCCTCGGCGGGTATGACCAGTTCGCCTACGATGGCGCGGATTCCATCTCCCTGAGCGAGGACCTGCGCTCCTGGACCCCCGCGGACTCGGGGGCTCAGATCACCCAGCGCGCGTGGGAGGCGGCGGGCAGGGCCGAGCGCGTCAGGCACAGTGTGCAGAGCAGGTGCTTCCCGCGGCTCCGCAGACTCCTGGAGATGGGGGAGGAGGTGCTGCAGCACACAGGTAAGAGGGGCCAAGAGGCCTCGGACCTCCCCTCTCTTGGCCCCACAGGGAAATGGAATAATGGGCAGAACAGCAGCTGCTTTCTGGGCAGAGAGGGAGAGTCCCCTGGGTGTCATGTTCTGTGCTAGAGACACTCGCCCAGAAGATACCACTTTTCTGGACGGTTAAGGGATCCAGTCTCTCCTGAGGGAGGGGAGGCCATCCTGAAATCTTCATTGGATCCTTTGACCCGGCAGCCATCCTGGGAAACATGAGTGTTTCTTTCAAGGCCTTGTTTTTGGTCTGAGAACATTTCTGGATCTGACTCCTGCCTTTCTGTGTCATTCACCCTCCACACTGGTCAGGAGCAAAAGTCTGTGTTCTCCTTAGAAACCTGCATCCTCCTACCCTGGGCTCTCACCTGATTATCCCAGATTCTCCAGACTAGGCTGATTTCTGGATTTTGTGCTTCCTCCCTCCAAACCCATTGTCATGTCCATTCTGAGGATGGTCAGTGAAGCTGCTTCAGTGTCCAGGAAAGAAAAACCCAAAGTGTGAGTATTTTTACCCTTCTCCCCAGATCCCCCAAAGACACAGATGACCCTCCACCTCACCTCTGACCATGAGGTCACCCTGAGGTGCTGGGCCCTGGGCTTCTACCCTGCGGACATCACCCTGACCTGGCAGCGAGATGGGGAAAACCTGACCCAGAACACGGAGCTGGTGGAGACCAGGCCTGGGGGGGATGGAACCTTCCAGAAGTGGGCAGCTGTGGTGGTGCCTTCTGGAGAGGAGCAGAGATACACGTGCCACGTGCAGCATGAGGGGTTGGTGGACCCCCAAGTTGTGAGATGGGGTAAGGAAGAGACATGGACACAAGCCTCCTGGGGGATCAGGAGCCCTTCTGGAGCTATTCAGAGGTTCAGGATGAGGCCTGGGACTCAGAGTCTCACCTTCCCTTCCCTTCCAGTGCCCCCTCCTCAGGCCTCTGTCCCCACCGGGAAAATCATTACTGGCCTGGTTCTCCTTGGAACTGTGCTCACCGGAGCTGCGGTCGCTGCTGCTGTGATGTGGAGGAAGAAGTGCTCAGGTAGGGAAGGGAGTGGGGGATTTTGTCCACTGGGGGCTTCCATGTCCCAGGGAGAACTTGCCCTGCCTGGTTAATGGGAAGTACCATCCATACACATGTGTGTTGCCCAGAGGGCATTTGGTCCAGTCACCCCTCACCTCCTTTCTTCATTTTTCACAGTCCTGACCTGGGTCTTTAGTCATAGTTCTGGAAACTTCCCTGTTCTGCAGGATTAGAAAATTCCTTTAGGACTTCTGACCTGGCTGCTCCCTGGTCTCACATGATGTTTCATTCCACAGGTGGACAAGGAGGAAGCTATACTCAAGATCCAGGTAAGTGTGAATCAGCAGTTGGATCCCTGAGCCCCTGGTGACAGTGTTGATGGAGCCCATGGGGGAGACACCCTCATCAGTTCCTCCTGTGGTCTCATCTCCGACCAAGTTTTGTTGTGTTCTCCCCAGGCAGGCATAGTCTGCAGGACTCTGAAGTGTATGTCAGCCCCTAAAGATGAGACCCTCAAGGACTGCAGTGGTTGCTGGGGGTTGAGGCAGAGAGGCTGGGACTAGGTGATGGGGATGCTTTCAGGAGGACATCTTGAGAATGTAGTAGACTATTGATGTTGTTAATACTTAAGTAATTCATGTGAATTTCTTCATGATTACTTTCTTTCATGGTGTGAGACAGCCCTGTGTTCGTCTGAGTGTTACAGGATTTCTTTTTCCCACATTTTGTGGCTTTATGATCCTTGGTTTAAACTACTTTACACCTGCGAGAATGGCCCACATCCAAAGACCAGAAACAAGTGCTGGCAAGCATATGGAAAAAAGGGGACAGTCCTACAGTGTTTTTGGATATAGACTGAGCCAGCCCTTATGGAAACAGTATTGAGGTTTCTTAAAAAAGTAAATATGGTTCTGCCCTTGGACCCAACAATTCTACACTGAGGATCTACTCACAGAGGATAAATACTCTCCTGTGAATGGACCCTGCACTCCCGTCACCACTGCAGCACTATTTACAGTAGCCAAGCTATGGACACCACCTGAATGCCCCAGACAGGTGACAAATCAAGTAGAAGCTGGGATTACATGTATACATATATGTGCATGTACAGGTAATATATGTACTTGTATAATGAAACAGTATCCACGGTCAGAAAACATAACTCATGCCACTGCAGCAACATGGATGGAAGAGGGTTAAGTCAAAAGGAAAAGAGAAATATATATAGGTGTGGAGAAAGCAAACAAAAGTCCAGATTAAGCCAAACTTCAAAATTATCCCTTAAGCCCTGCTAGGCTGCACCTATTGCTGAACAGGGCTGCAGACCAGCCCAGGCTTCCTGGCCCAGCAGCACTGGAAGGTGAACTGACCCTCTCTAGTTTGTCATCAAACTCATTTGATGACAAAGCCTGACTCCCACTGACTGCGTCCCCAACTGTGTCTTGTTATACTTACAGCACCACTGGATCCCCAGTCTCTGTTGTTTGCTGGGTCTGAGATGGATCTTGTACTTGATTGTTGCATCAGGCAACACCACACTGATAAAGAAGCAGGAGTCGTGGAGCAGGTTACATAATACAGGATGCTGCTGAAGAGCAAGATCCTGGCCTTTTTATTAATATACAGCATAAGAGGTTGCGGGAGAAAAAAGGAAAGGGGAAGAATGTAGAAGATCAGGGATTATGAGTCTTCCCTCCAGGCACTTCTTACCTACTTGATGACTGGTATTGTCATTGAGATCACAGCCTAGTTCCCCAGTCTTGGTTTTAATTTTATCAACAAGGCCTTCCACTGATCAGCTTCTGGGGTCCTTTGTTATACATCTGTCCCAGGGCCCTCCGGGCATTCCTGGTCATACCTTCCCAGCATATTCCAGCTTTTTGCTCTTGTTTGATTTTTTTTCTTTCTTTCTTTCTTTCTTTCTTTCTTTCTTTCTTTCTTTCTTTCTTTCTTTCTTTCTTTCTT